TGGGTTCTTTATAACCTGGTTTTCCCTTTCATCTAATTCAGGTTTTGATGAATCCTTTGTTTTGCTAAACAATCAGGACAAAAAGGAATCTGTCAAGAAGCAATATGGGATCTTATGCACACACATTCTTTAGTACCGATCTAGAAACAGAGCAGAAAGGAAAAACAAGAGTCAAGAACTCAGCAAAAAATACACCATTAAATATGTCATGCCCATAGGCAAGAACATGTGGAAAACCCATGTCTAATAAAGGAAGTGTATTGATGGAAGGACTCATAAGTATCTCAGGTCCTAACAGGCTCATATATTCACTGACAGCCAGCTTTAAGAATCCCTTTTGTTAAATGCTATCACTTAAGTTAATTTCCTGGGTAGAAAGACCCACTTCTGGGAGATCTAATTTGGGGGAAAGAATGTGTATGGGTGTATCTGACGCTATGTCTAGACTGCAAGCCTCTTTCGAAAGAGAGCGTCTAGACTGCACGTTGAACTTTCGAAAAAGCGGCTTGCTTTTTCGAAAGAAAGCATCCAGTGAGTCTGGATGCTCTATTTCGAAGAAGCCCTATTTACATTGAAGAACGCCTTCTTTCGAAAGAGGAACTTTCGAAAGAAGGCGTTCTTCCTCATGAAATGAGGTTTACCGCCATCGAAAGAAAAGCCGCGTTCTTTCGATTTAATTTCGAAAGAACGCGGCTGCAGTTTAGACGCAGGTGAGGTTTTTTCGAAAAAAGGCTACTTTTTTCGAAAAAACCCCTGAGTCTGGACACAGCCTGAGTTGTGTGTGTGTATGTCTGAGTTGTTTGTGTGTGTGGTTTGAGAGAAGGCATCTTTAATCTGAGATCTGCAAGCAACCAAATATCTGTGCAAGACTGGGCCCGATGCATATTTGAGGGCATGAAACCCTATTCCCTCCAATGGGACACCTGAAATTCTGAAAATGCAATTCTGTCGAAGAACCCCCCTCCTGACAAATGTAGACACAAGAGTTCTGTCTAAGAGGTTTTGACTACATAGGGAGCTAGTGAAAACTTTTTGAGCAGTAGAAAAAATGTGTTGGTTTTTGACCTTCGAAAAGTTCTGACATGCCATCAAAGCATTTTGAAAATTCCTGATGTTTTTAATTTTGTTTTTTGTTGGGGCTTTTTGTACCTACTCTGCCTCGTTTCTTGTTCCTTTGATGGAGTCTGTGTCAGTGGTATTTAAACATTTTGCTTCTCCATGGGTCATTCCCTTTGGGCCTGTCTGTACTACAGAACCATAAAAACATAAGAACGGCCATACTGGATCAGACCAAAGGTCCATCCAGCCCAGCGTCCTGTCTGCCGACAGTGGCCAATACTAGATGCCCCAGAGGAAGGGAACACAACAGGGAATCCTCATATGATCCCTCCCCTGTCCCCCATTTCCAGAGAAACAGAGGCTAGGGGCACCATTCCTACCCATCCTGGCTAATAGCCATTGATGGACCTAACTTCCATGAATCTATCTAGCTCTTTTTTGAAACCTGTTAAAGTTCTAGCCTTCACCGCATCCTCTGGCAAGGAGTTCCACAGGTTGACTGTCTTCATTGGCACAGCTATGCCAACAGATCCTGCTAGTGGAGAAGCAGGTTAAGTGGACAGCAGTTCTTCTCCCAGCATAGCTATATCACCTCCCCAAAGGACATTTGCGAACATAATAGAAGCAATCTCCTATTAACATAGCTATGGCTATACCAGTGATTTTGCCCAGATAGCTACCTTGGCTAGGGGGTATGATTTTTTCACATTCACAGATGACACAGCTATGCCAGTAAAACTTTGTCACATAGTCTGAGGCTTTGTCTGCCGTCTCTATTTAGACTGTGTGCTAGTTTAAAAAGGGACAGTCTCTTACCGTACGTACATATAGTACCTAATATAACAAGATCCTGATCTCAATAGGAGCTGATAAATACTACATGTTGAACCTTTCTAGTCCGGCACTCTGTGATCTGACAACATCTGTAGTCCAGAATGATTTTAGTTAGCCAGATGCACACTTATCATGGGTGTGGCCAAGTTTCCAATGGTTCATAAAGTTTGTTTAAAGCCACCAGTCCTGATGCTCAGTGTTCTGTGCTGTTATTTAGCTCTAACTTACGCTTCAATGTCCTCTAAGGGCCCAGCAAGCAGTGGCCGTGTTGGTCATGCTGCTAGTCCATATTGACCTTCCATGATCCAGCAAATTCTCTGGTTTGGCACCAGTCTGGTCCCTAGGGTGCCGGACTAGAGAGGTTCAATGTGTACTACTGTTACTCCCTGAAATACTGTAAAACGTCCTCCCATGAGAAGTGGTGGAACTCCAATCCCTGCTGAAATTTAAGCCTATACATCAGGACACTTAATGTAAATGACAATGATGCCTTGTGTCTTTTTGTGATTTGTTGGCGAGGGACAATCTTGATGGGAAAGGGAATTAGGCCTTTGCAGACTCGGCTGATCCTTCAGGGAATCACAGAACATCTAGTAAAATTGATGTTCCTTTTAGTAAGCGGCAGCAAAGAGCTCAGGGATAAAATAAATAATTAAATAAATAAATACCTAATCCCTAAGGTGTAATGCCAGAGTATGGAAACTCACTTCCCAGGAATACCTCCCTCTGGCATAATTGACTTTTCATGCACATTTTAATAATGATATTTCAGCAGGTTGTGAGGGCTCTCTCTCTCTCTCTTTTTTTTTTTTTTTTTTTTTTTTGATAAATTATGTTGGGGAATGTTGGGGGAAAAGAAACGTGTTATAAATTAATTGTGTTTTCCCTTCCATGTAACGAGTTGGCACAATGTAAAGGCGCATGCGGACGGGTTTACTAGGCCATTCCAATATTTACAACTGACCGATCTGGTTGTAGGGCAGGCACAATGAACAATGTTTCATTGTTTGGATGCTACATAAATGCTGGGGACAGCTGCTGAGCTGCAAAACGATCTGGAGGAGACCTGGGAGTTTTTGCTATGCCAGTACTCGCCTGGGCTGTCAACACAGAGGAAAGTTTTGGCGTGGGATTTATTTAAGAGGTGTACTCTTTGGGACTATGGTGTTCAAGAGCTGCTTTCAGACTTTGATCCTTGTGGAAGGAAGGTGACAAGCATTGGTCGTGTGTTCCTCCGAGCCAGGATCATGTGTACTTCCCTTAAGTCCTTGTATAATAACTCTGGTCAATATAAAATAAGGAGTCTGATGGCACCTTAAAGACTAACAGATTTATTTGGGCACAAGCGTTCATGGATTAAAACCACTTTTATGCTTCTGTTTAACCATGAAAGCTTATGCCCAAATAAGTCTCTGAGGGTACGTCTACACAGCAGCATTATTTCGGATTAACTGACGTTATCTGGAAATAACAAAATGCGTGTCTGCACAGAGAGTCGTTATTTCAAAATAAAGTCCAGCTGGAGGACTTCTTACTCTGACTCCTGCAACCCTCATTTCACGAGAAGTAAGGAAAGTCTGGGAAAGAGCGCTCTTCCTCTGACTCCCTGCTGACAGAAAGAGCACCAAAAGCCAAATGAAGATATTTCGACATCAGCCACACAATCGACATAGCTGAAGTTGCGTCACATAATTCGACTTTAGCCCTGCTGTGTAGACGTACCCTAAGGTGCCACAGGTCTCCTCATTGTTTTTGCAGATACAGACAGACTCACACGGCGACCCCTCTGTGATCCAGTATGTGCTTCATCTCCTTTACCGTCTGGTTCATTAAATTGTAACAGACTACTACTGCTGATAGCTAAGTATGCAGGCCCACTGATGGTGAATAGGACTCCTTGGGGGTAAGCATTATTCAGCGCGAGAAAGATTGTGATACTCTAAGCTGACTGGAGTCTGGGGCATCTGGCAAAGTGGGTTCCAGCCCACGAAAGCTGATACCTCTCCCTGCCTGTCTCTCCTATTTATTTTAGGTCTGTACATCCTAAAATCAAAACTCTGGTCATCTGAAGAAGTGAGCTGTGCCCATGAAAGCTCATGATCCCATCGACATGTTTTCTTAGTCTATAAAGTGCTAGCAGACCATTTGTTGTTTTTTCCTGTACAAACTAACTAGCTTCCAAATAAGCTACCACGAGATTCCCCATTGCTTGTGCTGAAATAGACTAACCTAGCTATCCCTCTGACACTTGACTGGAGCGACTCCTTTAGGCCCTGCAGGAGAGGTCTTTGGTGCAGTACCCAGGTTCATCCTCTTCCTCAGCGCAGCCGACAGCTTCCGCAGGCTCTCGCGCAAGGTGCAGGAAGGGGTAGGACTTCAGGCAGAAGAGGCGGGACTAGGAGCAGGCAGAAGAGGCGGGACGTGGACCGCGGCTGGCTCCCCCAACCCTAAGAGCTGCGTAGTGCGTGCGGAGTGGCACTACAGTAGTGATTTAGCAGCACTGGTGGCCAGAAGCCCTGGGTCTCTTTGCAATTGCCCCCTTAACCCCCTCCATTGGGGGGGGCGGCTTTCTTTCTCATGATCTTAAATCCAGGGCACACACGGCAGAAGGAATTGAGACTGTGAAACCTGGAAAAGTCTCCCCTCGGAGTTACTGCCCCACTAGGGTCAGCAGTGTGATTCACACCAGTGCTTCAGCTAGACAAGTCAGGCTACCGGCAAGGGGTTCTCTGGAGTTCAACTCAGCTTCCTAACACGCTTCTCCCATGCCTTCCCACAGTCCAGATTTGCTAACCTTCCAGGTGTGCCTGGTGCTGAGTTCAGCACACCTTAGCACGCTGCAGAGCATTGCCCTTGCAGGAGGGCAAGGCTTGGTGGCCCAAGAAGCTGGATGTGCAGGGTTGAATTGAACTTCTCCAAGGCCACTGAATGAACCGAGGCAGGGAGGAGCCGTTAAACCCACCCACTGCAATCGGAACCCGGAGCAATGCCACAAGGAGTGGGAGCCAAGGGTTTTAATTTCATCCAAGGAAACACCCGGCCGTTCTCCTCTTACTCACAAATACTCGCTGCAGCCAGGAGACCGCGAGGAGTCCTGAAAATCTTACCTGGCTGCGATACCTGAAGCAGGAAGGATCCCAAGAGACCTTGACTTCACCAGCACTCGGTCTGAAACATGCAGAGAACTATGGGGAATCCTCAGCTTGTCTGAAAGAAAGACGACGAGAAGGAACTTGGCTCGATCTATCCCTCGCTTGTAGTTATATGCTGGTTGCAAAACGGGGCTTTGGGTGATTGCTTAGCCAAACGTCCATACCACTAATACACAGTGGCAACATATTATGGTGCATAGGTATAGTGTGTATATGACACCCTTCTGTCCGACTAATGTGACTGAGCTACAGAACTCCTGGGTTCGTTCCAAAGGCCCTATTCAAATGCATCTTTTTGTTTGTAGTGTTTAGGGGACTGATGCATCCCAAAATGCAAACTTGAAGCTGCCAAGTTTTGCCCTCCAAAACAGATGACCCGCCCATGAGTCCTTTAGTAACAAGAACTCCAGACCATCTCTGACAGGTGTCTGTCTAACCTGCTCTTAAATATCTCCAGTGATGGAGATTTCACAACCTCCCTAGGCAACTTATTCCAGTGATTCACCACCCTGACAGGAAGTTTTTCCTAATGTCCAGTATAAACCTCTCTTGCTGCAATTTAAGCCCATTGCTTCTTGACCTATCCTTAGAGTTCAAGGAGAATAATTTTTATCCCTCCTCTTGTAACACCCTTTAAGTACTTGAAAGCTGCTGTCATGTCCCCTCTCAATCTTCTCAGAACTAAACAAACCCAATTCTTCCCGTCTTCCTGCATAGGTCATGTTTTCTAGCCCTTTTATCATTTTAGTTGCTCTTCTCTGGATTTTCTACAACATGTCCACATCTTCCCTGAGAGGTGGCGCCCAGAACTGGACACAACACTCCAGCTGAGGCCTAATCAGAAGGAAAAAATTGCTTCTTGTGTCTTACTCACAACACTCCTGCAGTGTCACATTGTGGACTCATGTAGCTTGTGGTCCACTAGATCTCTTTCTGCTGTACTCCTCCCTAGACAGTCCCTTCCCATTTGGCATATGTGAAACTGATTGTCCCTCTTTAAGTGGAACACTTGGCATTTCTCCTTATTGAATTTCACCCTATTTACACCAGTTGTGGATCTGGCTCGCGATTTTTTAACTCACATCAGCTGACTGTCATTGGTACTGATTAAGCTACATTACTTCTATTGTCACAGACTAACACAGTGATTTTGATGCAGTGTTTTGTTGTGATACATCCAAATTCCTAGGGGACAATTATTGCTTAGCAAGTGTCACTTGCACTAAAATCCCACCTTGTCATTTCATCCAGCCCTCTAAAATTGTACAAGAAAGAAAAGGAAAAGCCTTCAGGTGTGAGCACTCTTATAGCGTCACTATCTGTCCGTCTGTCTCTAGACGACTTTTCTGGAAACGCCTCTGTATTTCACGGAAACCCCTGTTCTGGGAGGCATGTGACTTTCGGGGACCGTAGTTGCATCTATTTTAATATGTATGTGGAACTGAAAAAACGAGCTACGGTTTCTCTTTGTAAATGACATTCCTACATGGAATCCTCCAGGGGTCAGCATGCTTGTGTTTGTTCACATGGCTTGTTTTGTGGAGCGCTCTCTATGAATGAGTTTTTCCTTTCTCTCAGCCCAGTACACTTCAGATATTTAATAACGAGGCTTGGCTGCCATCTACTGCTGAAAGGAGATTTACTTTAAAATACGGATTTTGTGTTTGTGTGAATGTGCTGGCTACTGAGGAAAGATACCTGACTGACAGCTCTGTATGGCAAAAGTCCAGTATACCCAAGGCACTGCCACAATGGCTGAGAAATTTAAAACAGTCTAGGAGATTGACAGACGCATTCTTCACTAAAGCTAGAGGATTTAGACACAGCTCTTCCGTTAGGGTATGTCTGCACCGCAACATTATTTCGAAATAACTAGTGTTATTCTGAAATAACTTAGTTCACGTCTACACAGCAGGCTGTTATTTCGAAATAATGTTGAAATACTGTCAAGCTGGAGGACTTCTTACTCGAACTCCTGTAACTCTCATTGTACAAGGAGTAAGGGAAGTCGGAAGAAGAGGGCTCTATTTCAAAATAAGTGCCGTGTAGATGCTTCCAATTTCGAAATAAGCTATTTCAAAAGAAGCTACACAATTGACGTAGCTCAATTTGCATAGCTTATTTCGAGTTAAGCTCTGCTGTGTAGACGCACCCCCAGGCAGCTTCTGAAAATTTCGTAGCTGCAGTGCATGGCGCTGCATACAGACGCTGCAAGAGAGCTCAACATTAGTCTGCAAACATTATTGGGATTAAGAGGGTATCACAGTTTCTTGGCCCGTCTAGGCATGCTGGTTATAATACACGTTGTGCTCTAATCAAACACAAGTTGTGAATTTTAATGGCCTGTTATACACAGAAGGTCAGATTAGGTGATGCAATGTTATTTACTAGCCTTGAGCTCCATCAATCTATGAAGCAAGTGGGGTGTTAATTAGTAATGAACCAAGTGGCGTGGACATGTGTCCAGTAAGGAATGGACTGAGATCCATCAAGTCACTATCTGGGTGAGGTGGTTGACTTAGTACTGAAAAAGGTGTAGGTCCCATTTTTTATCTCAGGGAAATTTGGGTGGGATTGGAAGAGCTATTCCACTGTTGCATTGGCATTGTCATGAATAGGAGTTGTCCCCTCCAGTCTATACTTTCCCAGTTTTTAACTCCCTAAATCTGATCATACATCCTTGCTCCACCTCAAACACGTTTTCATTTTTATTACTTCCTAGTCTTACGGTGAGGATAACATAGAGAGCCATTTCCTGACATCCTTACTCATTGTCATACTCAGCATGAGTTAGGACAGGCTCAGAGGGGAAGCCGTGTTAGTCTGTCACTGAAAAAACTTACAAAACAACAAATAGTTCTGCAGCACCTTAGAGTACCTCTACACTGTACGGCTATTTCGAAATAAGCTATTCCGGAATAGTTACCGAAATAGTTAATTTTGAAATAGCATGTCTACACTGTAGGGAAGCCTCAAAATGAGTCTGAGGCAGGTTTCCCCAATGTAGATGTGCTATCTCGATTTAGAGCACCAGGAGGAATAACTTAGAATGGCCATAGTGAGGGGCTATCTTGAAATAGCAGTGTCTACGCGTACCTTATTTGTAAATAGCTATTTCGGAAGAGGTGTTATTCCTTGTAGAATGAGGCTTACAGAATTTGGAATAAGCCATCCATTATTTCAAAATGATTTCTAAATAATGGAACGGCTGTGTAGATGCTCACATTGTTAATTCAAAATAACGCTTGTTATCTCCAAATAACGGTGCAATGTAGACACACCCTTAGAAACTAACAAAAGATGTAGATGGTCTCATAGGACAATTCCTAGCAACTTTAATGAGAACTTTGCTTGAGCAGGAATTGAGTACAACATGAGAATGGCCACACTATGTCAGACCAACTAGCCCAGTAACCTGTCTGCCGACAGTGGCCAATGCCCGATGCCCCAGAGGGACCGAGGTCAACTGAGTAAGGACCTCTGCGATGATCCTGTAGAATCTTTCATGTCAAAGCACCTTACAAATTATATGTATATTGCACCAATAAGATGCCATTGTCCACTCTCCAGGAATTAAAGAGCAACCCAGGCAAAGCATGACCATGAGGGTAGGGGAAATTCTGTCCAAGGAGATGTGGTTCTTAAAAGAAAATGCAACAGGAAACTTTAATGTCCAATCAGAGTAGATGGAATCTAAAGGTCTTCTGAGAACTCCAGTGGAAGATCTACACAGGCAGAGGAAATAGGACGTAGTTAGGTAATTCATACCTGAGTCATAGGTTACTGGACCATCCTCTTCTTTATTGTAACTGAAACCTAGTCTGAACAGAACATTACCTGGTAGGGATTGTCTCCGAGATTTGTTTTTACAGTGACATTTTTTAATTAGCTCCGGATTATCAATATCGCTGTGGCAGACTTTACAGTAAAAATGAGCCCTGGGTGACAAAAGCAAATGGGGAGATACTGTATTAACTATAGGGGAGTGGAGGAATATGTCCAAATGCATTTGTTAACTCTTGAAAGCTCTACTTGTCCAGACGTTTTTTGCCGGAGGATAATATGGGACGTTACCTTCTGATTTCTGCCTTGGATCTGGCAATAAAAAAGCCCATTGTGTTTTGGTGGAGCTTGATCTCAGCAGATGGGTTGACCAGGATGCTATTGGAAAACAAATGAACAAAGTCAAGTACCCATTTGCAGATTCAAAGGCCAAAAGAAATCCTGGTGAGTCTTTAATCTGCCTTTCTATGTCACTCTGGCCACAGAACTTCCCAAAATAATTCCTAGAGCTGATTTTCTGGAACTAAAAACCATCTAATCTTTGTTTTCAAAGGCTCTGTGACAGAGACTCTACCATGATGCTTGGTAAATTGCTCCAATCATGTGCAATTTGGCCTGTGTCCTGCAAGAGGTCAGAGCAGATGCTCATAATGGTCCCTTCTTGCCTTACAGTCTACAACGCGCTTATACATTTCTCCACTCACACTGTCCTAGTCGAGGTTCACAATGTGCCCACAATTAAGGGAAATGGTATTCATCCCATTTTACAGATGGGGAAGTGAGGCAGAGAGACTGACTTCTTTATGGACACATGGGGGCTGTGTCTACACTGGGCCACTTATTCCGGAAAAGCAGCCGCTTTTCCGGAATAAGCTGCGAGCTGTCTACACTGGCCCCTTGAATTTCCGGAAAAGCAGTGACGATTTACTGTAAGAAATCAGCTGCTTTTCCGGAAAAACTATGCTGCTCCCGCTCGGGCAAAAGTCCTTTTTCCGGAAAACTGTTCCGGAAAAGGGCTAGTGTAGACAGCACAGTAGTCTTTTCCGCAAAAAAGCCCCGATCGCGAAAATGACGATCGGGGCTTTTTTCCGGAAAAGCATCCTGCCAATGTAGACGCTCTTTTCCCGGAAATACTTATAACGGAAAACTGTTCTGTTTTAAGCATTTCCGGAAAAAGGTGCCAGTGTAGACACAGCTGGGGAGTTTGTGAAAGAGGTCCAACTCAAACTCTAATCTTCTGAGTCCCAATCTAGTATTGTAACAAAACCAACTTTCATGTCATTATCAAAATGTAGTAAAGTTTGGGTTTTAAAAAAAATGTTTGTTATATTGTTAAGTTTATAGGAAACTGACTCTTTTCATTCTCAGAAACTATTTAAAACCTTTAAATTCACAGTTTAGCTGCAGGTGTTGAATATCCCAGATAGATCCAGGTGTCTTGCAGAAGATGCCAACTGCTTCCATTAAAGCTTACCTGTGGTGCTTCTCAATGTATTAGGGATGAACAGGTTCCATACACCTGCTGCTCTGCTAAACATACTCCTACTTCCACCTGAACAGTCCAGGCCCATTCTGGAGCATGTCCCTGCCATGTTGCTATAAATACTAGGTAGAAACCCTCAGCGGTGTTACTAAATTTATCAGCTGCAGTTAGGCAGAGCTGTGCAGCTGCCTAGATGTACCAGTCACATCCTACTGATTTCAACCCAGTCTTAATGGGTCTTGGCAGGACAGCTGAAGTAGGAAAGAGCCACCTAAGGATTTATCTTTTCAATTCTCATCCAGAAAGGAATAGGATACCTCCCCTCAACTCCTCCTCCTCCACAGCTGCTTGGTTACTAATGAACAAGACAGCAGAGGCAGAAGCAAGAATTATTCATTAATTATTATTGTCAACACAAAAGACTTTGGCCAGACTGGGTCAGACCAAAGGTCCATCTTGCCCATTGTCCTGTCTTCCAACAGTGACCAATGCCAGGTGCCCCAGAGGGATTGAACAGAACAGGGAAACATCAAGTGACCCATCCCCTGTCATCCATCCCCAGCTTCTGACAAACAGAGGCTAGGGACATCATCCCTACCCATCCTGGCTAAGAGCCATTGATGGGCTTATCCTTCATGAACTTATCTAGTTCTTTTTTTGACCCTGTTAAATCCCTGGTCTTCACAACATCCTCTGGCAAGGAGTTCCACAGATTGGCTGTGTGTTGTGTGAAGAAATGCTTCCTTTGGTTTGCTTGCTTCCTTTTGCCACCATCTTGGCAGCCCCTAGAGGACTCATCATTGGACCAAGACCCCATTGTGGTCGGTTCTGTACGAATACAGAACACAAAGATGAATTCCCCGCCTCCCTTGTTAT